CTTCCTGCACCTGCACGGCAAGACCTTCGACTACAAGATCCCCTACACCACCGTGCTGCGCCTCTTCCTGCTCCCGCACAAGGACCAGCGCCAGATGTTCTTTGTGGTGAGCGGGAAGGGGTCAGCCTTCCCTCGGGAACAGGGGTGAGGGGTGGGTCAGGGGGATTCACGTCCTCGCCTCCCCCTCTCTTCCCAGATCAGCCTCGACCCCCCGATAAAGCAAGGCCAGACCCGATACCACTTCCTGATCCTGCTGTTCTCCAAGGATGAGGACATCTCCCTGACCCTCAACATGAACGAGTGAGCTGCCTCGCTGCCAGGCCGCTTCCCAGGCCCCCCAGCCCAGATCCCGAGGGAAGTACCAAGCCCCTGGCGTCCTGTTCTCACCTCTGCCCTCCTGGCTGTGCAGGGAGGAGGTGGAGAAGCGCTTCGAGGGGCGGCTCACCAAGAACATGTCGGGGTCCCTCTACGAGATGGTCAGCCGGGTGATGAAGGCGCTGGTGAACCGCAAGATCACCGTGCCTGGAAACTTCCAGGGGTGAGTGGCTGCAGGGCCAGTCCCTCTTTTTCCCTGTCATTCCCATGGCTGTGGGGAAGGGGCTCTGTGTGATTTGTGCCCAGAAGCAGGGCTGCTGGTTCCTTTGGCTGCGAGGGCGGGCACGGGGAGAGCGTTTCTCCCCGTGGGTGCTGGATAGCCACGTTTGCCCCACAGACACTCCGGAGCCCAGTGCATCACCTGCTCCTACAAGGCCAGCTCGGGGCTGCTGTACCCGCTGGAGAGGGGCTTCATCTACGTGCACAAGCCGCCCGTGCACATCCGCTTCGACGAGATCTCCTTCGTCAACTTCGCCCGCGGCACCACCACCACCCGCTCCTTCGACTTCGAGATCGAGACCAAGCAGGGCACGCAGTACACCTTCAGCAGCATCGAGAGGTGGCTCTGGGCTCTGGGCTCTGGGCTGTGGGGCCGGTCTGGCCGTGCTCACTGGGGCTCCCTGGCAGCCCAGGCCTGACCGTCGGCTCTCCCGCAGGGAGGAGTACGGGAAGCTCTTCGACTTCGTCAATGCCAAGAAGCTGAACATCAAGAACCGGGGGCTGAAGGAGGTACCTGCCGTGCGGGGCCTGCCTTCTCCCGAAATCCGGCTGCTTTTCCCTCCTTTTTTCACCTCTCTTTTCTCTCCTTGCCCTTGTAGAGGAAAAAGGTCCGTGCGATATCCCTTCCTCTTTCTCCTCCTCCTCCTGGTGCAGGTTTCCTGTGCATGGCTGTGGTGGTCCTTGACTAACCCAGTTAACCCCAGCGTGGTGTGCGAGGGCCCCCCTAACCCACATAACTGCTCTGCCCCTCTCTCCAGGGCCCTGATGGTGGGGAAGGAGGGGACGTGTCTGTGTCCATCCTCCACCCTGTGCGTGCCCAGGGCCATGCCAGGGGCTGTGTTCCAGAGTGGGGGGTGTGCAGGGGGTGCTCAGGGAGCAGCTCTCATCCCGCCTCTCCACAGGGAATGAAGCAGAGCTACGATGAATACGCCGACTCTGATGAGGACCAGCACGACGCCTACTTGGAGAGGATGAAGGAGGAGGGCAAGATCCGGGAGGAGAACGCCAACGACAGCAGTGATGGATCCGGGGAGGAGACAGGTGAGGGCTGGGGCTGCAGGAGACTGTGGGGGGCTGGTGTTGCGCTCTGGCTCCTTTCCCTCATGATTATCTGATGTGCTGATCCCTTGCTCTCTCCTCCAGACGAGTCCTTCAACCCTGGAGAAGAGGATGATGATGTGGCTGAAGAGTGAGTAGAGGCTGGGCAGGGCTCTGTCCAGAAGGGCCTTAGGAAGGTGCTGTTGGGGGGATGCTCCCAGCACGACTGGGATCACCTTGTATAGCCCTGGATTTGGGAATGTTGGGCAGCAGGGACAGTTCTGGGCTCACTCTGTTGTAACACCATTAGGCAGTGTGAGAGAGTTCCAGAAGGAATCAGGGGCTCCTGGGGAGGCCTTGGCTGCTCTGGCCAGGAAGGAGAACGGCGGGAGGAGGGCTAAAGCCCTGGGCTGGGGCAAGGGTGGGTGGGGGCCATGGTCCCTGCAGCAGCGTGGTGGGAGCGGGGGGGGCTGGGAGCTGAGCCCTGGATGTCCAGGAAGCGGAACACGGTGAGCCACGTTCGTGGAAGGCGACTCCCCCGAGGGCTGTTAACAGGAGCACAGGGCAGCTCCGGCCCGGGAAGCCTCTGGGGGCAGGTCTGGCTGCCGGCCGGGCGCTGAGGCCGCTGCCCCCCGCGCAGGTTCGACAGCAACGCCTCGGCCAGTTCCTCCAGCGGCGACGGCGACAGCGACCGCGACGACAAGAAACCCGCCAAGAAGGCCAAGATCGTCAAGGACCGCAAGCCCCGCAAGAAGCAGCAGGAGGTGAGGGGCTGCTGCGCTGCTGGGGGGGTGCAGAGGCGAGCGGGGTGCCAGGGTGCTGGGTGAGGGGTGCGCTGGGGCTCCATGAGTGTTCTCCATCTCCCAGAGCAAGAAGGGGAAGGACCCCAACGCTCCCAAGCGCCCGATGTCGGCGTACATGCTCTGGCTGAACGCCAACCGGGAGAAGATCAAGTCGGACCACCCTGGCATCAGCATCACCGACCTGTTCAAGAAGGCCGGGGAGCTCTGGAAGGCCATGTCCAAGGAGAAGAAGGAGGTGAGGGATGGGAGGACTGGGCTGCTCCCCTGGGGCGGCAGAGCTGGGCCTGGTCTGGGAGGAGAGGCTGGATGTGAGGGACCCTTCCTTGCTCCTGGGAGGAGTTGGGAAGGGGAAGGGACATCCTCGGGCTGGGTGATCAGAGGTGGAGAGGGATGAGGTGGGAGCAGGGTGGGGTGTGGGTGAGTGCTGGGGATGGTGGAGGAGGAGGGAAGGCCCTGCTGCCCCTGCTCTCTGGTCACAGGAGTGGGATCGGAAGGCAGAAGATGCCAGGCGGGACTATGAGAAGGCCATGAAGGAGTACAGTGTGGGCAGCAAGGCCGACAGCCACAGGGGGTGAGTGTGCTGGGCAAGGGGCTGGCAGGGCTTGGCCCCCCAAAATCAGGCTATTCACCAGTGCCTTGCCAGAGCTGGGGGGCTGCCAGCCAGGTGACACTGCTCCTCTCCCCACACGGCACAGGGAGAGGTCAAAGAAGAAGAAGAAGAAGCAGGAGAAGCAGATGAAGGGGAAAGGGGACAAGAAAGGTGCCACCTCCAAGTCCTCGTCCTCCAAGTCCCCGTCCAAGAGCATGAGCGACAGCTTCAAGAGCAAGGAGTTTGTGTCCAGCGACGAGAGCTCCTCTGCAGAGAGCAAGAAGGAGGTAGAGGGTCCTGGCTGGGGGGTCCCAGCCCTTCTTTTCGGGGGAACAACCTGGTGGTCTCTGCAGGGGCTGGGCCCCTCTCCTACCTTGTGTCTGTAGTACAGTCACATCCCTTGGGGGGTGTCCTCGAGTCGCCACCATCACCCTGTCCCCAGTGTGGGGGCACAGGAGAGATGGAAGAGTGGGGGCTGCTGCCCTTCCTTCACTGTCCCCCACTGATCTCCTTGTGCCCTGCCCGCAGGACTCGGAGGAGGAGGGGGCTGCCAGCCCACCCCCCAGCTCGGAGGACTCGGCGTCCGGCTCGGATTAGCCCCATCCCGGCTGGCTCCAGGCTGGTTCCCAGGTCGGCGAGAGGACTGGGCGGGCCGGCCCCGCGGCAGAGACCGGGGTCCTGGGCTCGGGATGGCTCCCACCGGGAGCAGGGCTGGGGGGCCCTCATTCCCCCAGCCCCCCGTGCCTGGCTGGGGGTGCGAGATCTCATGGTGGCAGGAGGTGCTGGAGGCTCCTCAGTGCCCCCTCACCCCTGTTCCCCATCAATTTATTTTTTTTTAAACACTTGGGTTTCTTTCCTTTTCTTTCCTTCACTCGTTGATTTTTTTGGTGGTGTTTTTTTTTTTTTTTTGTATTTTGGGTCTGTTCACATGGCAACTTGGATTGAATAAAAAAACCCCGTCGAGGGCGTCTGTGTGGGTGCGGGGCCGGCTCCCCCCATCCCTCCTTCCTTCCCGCAGCCATCCGGGAGCTTGTTCCCCTCCTTGAACCGCTTCCAGGGCTGACCTCACTCTCTCCCCACCCTCCATTAGCGGCCCCCAGCCCCTGCTCAGCCATCAGGGCTCCTAATTACGGCCCCTCGCTCGATCCTGATGCCATTTGGGGGTTTTTCCATCTCCCTCATGAGTGGGTTGATCCGATTAAGTCCCTTTTCCCCTCCGGTGTTTGATTGCGGGCAGTTCCCGGTCTGGAACCAGCCCCGGGGGGATCCCATGCCTGCCTGTTCCCCCGCTTTTCACCGCCTTTACTGGCACCACTGGGATGGTGCTGCGGGGAAGCAGGAGCCCCCCGGGTCCCTTGTGCTCCCCGAGGCCGAAGGCGGGGGTTCACGGTGGGCACAACGGACCCCCAAGTGGAGTTGTGGGGCGCTGTTGGCATGGCAACCCACCCCAATGGTGATTGCTGCCCCTCTGGCGGCAGGCCCCACTGTTGGGAGGACCCCCGGAATGGGATAATTTACAGCGGGGGGGGTCCAGGGGGTGTCCAGGGGGTCCTGGCCGGCTGTCCCCGCGCCCTGAGGGTCATTTGGGGGTTCCTGGAGGTCTCTAGGGTGTCCCCCCCGGCCCCATTTCGGAGGACTCTCTGGCCGCCCCTCTCTATGGTCCGCCCGCCACGCGGCGCCGCTGTGCCCCGCCCCTCCCTGTCGTTGGGGGCGTGGCCAGTGGGGCGCTCATGAATATGCATTAGCAGCGGCGGCGGAGGGTGAGAGGGGGTCGCTCCGCCGGGATGGGGCTGCGGGGAACCGGGATCCCCGCGGGCCCGCGGTGCCCGCCGGGGCACCCCGCATCTTCGGACCGGGCGGCGCGCCACGGGCGCGGGACCCCCGAATTGGGTGGGGGGCTCCGTTGTCATGGGGACGGCGCTAGGCCGCGGTCGTGGCCTACTCGGCGACTCGAGCGGAGGCTTCGTTGCCGTGGCAACGGGGATAGGCCGCGCTGGCGGAGGACCCCGGGGGGGCCGGACCCGCATCCCGGGGCCCCGCCGCCATCCCGTGCTGGGAAACGGGCCCGATCGTTTCCAGATGTGCGTTGTGGCGGCCGTTCCCCCGTGGAAGGCGAAGGGAGGGGGATCTGGGGGTGGGGGTTGGACCCCGGCGGGGGCAGGAGGGAGCGAGGCAGGGAGGGGAGGGAGGGAAGGAGGGCAGGGCCGGGAGGAGGCACCGAGCGGGTTTTTCCTGTCCCCGCAGCCCCGGTGAGTCACGGGAGAGGCGGTGGCTGCAGCGTGAGACCCGTGGGGACGGTAACCCCCCCTCCCCGCCCGCCCCGCGCCCCCCACGTGTGTCCCGGCCCGCCCCGGACATGAGGCTGATGTGGGGAAGGTGAGTGGGGCACCCGCGGCCCCGCCGATGGGGCTGGGGGGGCAATTCTCGGGGGTTCGGGCGGTGCCTCCGGGGCTGCCGGGGGCCCGGGGGGGGGGGCGGCGGGTGACCAGGGCGGGGGGCCGAAGTGGGAACTGGGGCAAACTGGGGGCCAGACCGGCCATCGGGGGTTGGCAGAGGTCGGTGGTGGTGACACGTGTGCGTTGGGACAGGTTAGCGCAGGGTCAGGCAGGTAAGGGAGGGGCCACACGGCGCCGAGAGTGTCGCAGGGGGTCCATGTGGTTACGGTGGTGGGGGGTCGGGATGTTATCTGGGGCCGCTGCCCGTGCCAGGCTGGCTCAGGTGAGACAAGGCCGGTGTACCAAGGGTGTTACTGTGGCATGACCGTGGTTTGGCACAGCTGGACGGGCCTTGGCACAGGGCCGGGAGGCGATCGGGCACCCCCCGCCTGCCGCTGGGTCTCTCTGGGCACGGGGTGACCCCCAAAACGCTCCTCCCTCCCTCCCTCTCTCTCTCCCCAGGGGCTGACCCCTCGCCGTGCCCCCCGTGTCACCATGGCCTCCCAGCCGCAGCCCCTGCGCCCCGCCGTGCCCTGTGCCACCCCCACCAGCACTGGGGGGGCCGGTCTGGCTGGCAGCCCCGACAAAGGTCAGTGCCACGGGCGGGGGGTTTGCTGGGGCAGCCCCCCGAGGGCTGTTCTCAGCCTGGGGGGGCTGTGCTGCGCCCCCTGACCCCGTCCCCGGCTCTCCGCAGGCACCGCGCGCCCCAAGCCGCCGGTGAGGCCCAAGCCCCGCGTGCTGCCCAAGCCGGCCGTGCCCGCCAAGCCCCCGGTGCCGCCCCTTGTGCCGGGCCCGCGGCACCCCCGGCCCGAGCTGCCCTCGGCCGAGAAGATGAACCGCCTGGCTGGGCCGCAGCCCTACAGCGGGGGTGGCACGGGGGGGCCCCTCCGCCGCCCCTCCTTCACTGTCAGGTCACCCGAGACCCCCAACGGGAAGGGGCTCCCGTCCCCCGCTGTGGCAGCCGCCGAGGAGGAGGTGCCCCCCGCCCCGCCGACCCCCTCGCGCAAGGGCCCCGCGCCCTTCAAGGTGACGCCGGTGCCGGTGGCTGCCAGGCCGGAGCGCTTCCCAGGCACCACTGTGGAGGAGATCCTGGCCAAGATGGACAGCAGGGAGGGTCCGGGCAGCCCAGACAGGGCCTGGCTCTCGCCCTTCTGTCCCGACCCCTCCTCCCGCTTCGGCTCCAAGACCTTCGCCGCCTTCCGGAGGCGTCCCAGCGGGGAGGCGGATGGAGACCCCCCTGGTGAAGCCCCACACACACCCCGACCTGCGGCGGGCGAGCTGGGAGTGGGGGATGACGGACACTCCATGGCTGAGACGAGGTGAGGGGCCAGAGACCCACCCCAGGGGGAGAGTGGCAGTGGGAACACGGGACATTGCTCCGAGCCGTCCTGGGGCGGGAATGTAACGGAGCTGAGGTCTGGTCGCCGGCACAAGGCCTGGGTTCCTCCCGAGCCACAGCGCCTCGAGGTGCCTCCGTGGGAAGGCCAGTGCCAGCCGCAGGACGGGCTGTCCTGGACCAGGAGCTGCCTGCAGCCCTGTGGGTGGGCTCCAAGCCAGCCGTTAGGCAGGGGGTTGCTCCCCGGGAAAACACTCCTGTTTTCCCAGCCTCACTATTTTTTCCCTACTGGGCCGTGCCAAGGCACAGGGAGCGGGCAGATCAGCGGGACTCCCAGCTCTGGGACGTTCTGGGCCGGAGCCAGGGCTTGGCCATGCTCCCGAGAACTTGGGCACCTCAGGGAGAGCTGGGCGGGGGCTGCTCTGAACCAGAGTGTGAGAAACTCGCTCCCAAAGGACCAAAAACTTTCCAGAAAAGGGGCTGGGAGTGCTTCGCCTCCCTCCCCTGGCAGCCCAAGCCAGGGCCCGGCGTGCAGCCATGGCAGGGCCCGACCCTGGCCCCCTGTGGCCATGGAGGCTGGTTTGGAGCAGGGGTGCCTCAGTGGGTGTGAGGAGAGGGGCCCCGAGGCACCCAGTGGGATTTACCCTCTTTCCCCATTTCTCTCTGCAGCGGCTCCCCCCCAGCTGGGCCACGCTGTGCTGGGGACCCCCGTGGACACCGGAGGCCACCGTCCCCTCCTGATGTGAGTGCTGGCCTCGCCCTCCGGCGTCGCGGCAGCTCCGCTCCTGGGCTCTCTCCTTCGGGGCTCTCCTGTCTCCTCCGGGGCTCCCTCTCTGCGGGGTGCGTGTCTCTCCTTTCTCCTCGGGGTGCTGGCTGCCCCTTCTGGGGGGGTCCAGTGCCCCCTGCGCTGGGCCCCCAGCGCGGGGCCCAGGGGTGTGGGGGTGGCGTGTGCCAGCACCGGTGCCAGCCGTGGGCAGGGAGCAGCTGTGAGTCACCAGCCGGGGTTTGGTGACCCGGCAGGTATGTGGCAGGGCAGGCCCCTTGGGCTCCCCGCCAGTCCCTCTCCCCACACTGCACTCGCTCGGGGCGGTGACCGGGACACCGGGCCTCGGTGACACCACGGGTGACAGCCCGGGCAGTGGCCCCAGGTCACCTTGGCAAGAGGGCAAACCCCGACGGTGCTGGACAAAGGTGATGCCAGTCCCAGGCAAGGCAGGCGGCTGGGCTGGGGGGTCCTGACTTCCTTCTGCTTCATTTCTTCCTCTCCATCTGTCTGGGTGGTCCGGGGGCAGCGGAGGGCTGAGCTGGGAGCGGGGCTGGGGCACCAGGAGCCGCCCGGGCTGAGTCACGCTGGAGCAGCCTGGTGCTGGCACACAGTGTGGGCACCTCCTGCCCCAGGTACAGGGAGGGGAGCGGGGCTGGAGGGAGAGACCCTCCGGAGGTTTGGGGTGGATGATGCTTGGGGGTGTCTCTCGAGTGACAAGACCCCCACTGGCTCTTTCCACAGCTCTCCTCTCTCCAACTGGGGGCCCTCGGACCCCCGGGCTCCCCACGGCCCCCCACCTCCCCGACCCCGGCCCCAGGAGCTCCCTTCCAGCCTCCCGAGCCCTCCGCCCCGGCCCCCGGCTCTCCCGATGCCCCCGCTGAGCTCCTGGCCCCCGACTCCCCCACACTGCCCCCCGGCTCCCCTGAATCCCCCACTCAGCCTCCAGCCGAGGCCCCTGCCCCCTCCATCCAGGCCCCAGGTGCTCCCTCGGCCACCAAACCCCATCTCGGCACCTCCCGCTCCCCTGGCTCCCCCCACACTCCCGGGGAGGGTTCCCCTGACACTGCCAGCCCCCCTGGCACTCCCGAACTGCCCCCCCGAGTCACCTGCCCCCCTGGCTCTCCTGAGGCTGCTGCCGAGTACCTGGGCCGTCCCAGCCCACCCCTTGCCAAAGCCTCTCGTCCCCCAGGCTCCCCAGAGGGACCCGATGACTCCGCAGTGTCCCCACAGTCCTGCGAGGGTCCCGATTTCAGCTCCCCTCCCCGGGACGTGGGACTGCGGCGCTCCTCAGAGGGAGTGCTGCAGTCCTCGCCCACGGGGCAGGGCCTGGGGGAGCTGGGGGGTTCACTGAGTGCCCTGCCCCGGCCCGGAGACCCCCTGTCTGAGCCCTCCCTGGGCAGTGAGTCCGGCTGGAGCCTTTCCCAGTCCTTCGAGTGGACGTTCCCGTCGCGGGGGACACGCTTGTCGGCCTTCCCCCCCCACTCCCCCATCCGGGAGACGCCTGACTCGGGGCTCTCTGAAGAGGGAGAGTCGGATGGGGAGGCTGCAGCCCACAGCCCCCCAGAGGACAGCGGCTCTGAAGGGCTCGACAGCTGCAGGGCAGAGGGGGCTCCATGCCCAGGGGGTCCCGTAGCCCAGCGAGAAGCTGAGGGCTTGACGGAGGAGGAGGAGGAAGGGGAGGTAGAGCGAGGCACCCCTGGGTCCCAGTCCCCACTTCGTGTGACAGAGCCTGGCTGGCACCCAGCTGAGCCTGAGCCCCCCACCCAGCCCAGCATCACCACAGCTGCACCCCTGGATCCAGCCCCCCCCGATCCAGCCCCTCTGGCTGACTTGGCCTGGGCAGGTGACAGCCCCAAAGACCTGCAGGGCCCTGGGGGGCCAGGCCAGGCCGAAGGACCCCCACAGGGCCCCGACCCCCACGCCGACCCGGGCTGGCTGACGGAGCTGCTGGCGTCACCTGGGGCCCACACCACAGGGCACGGCTCGCCAGAGGTGAGGGGATGCTGGGGGCTCTGTGGGGTTAGTGTGGGGTGGGCTCCTCCATCACTGGGTGGTGGGATAGGAGGGGACAGCACAGGGTGGGATGAGTGTGTGGATGGAGGCCAAGCGGGAGCATGTGGTGAGGGGCAGGTGGCAGGGTATGGCCTCCCTTTGGGGTGGGCCCTGCTGTGCTGTGTACCCTGGGCACCCCAGGGCGTTTCTCCCCTTCTCTCCAACTCTGCTGCTGTAGGAGCCAGGGCTATGCCCCCCTCTAACTCTTCTCACTCCTTTCCCCCTTCCCCCCAGGGCCTGCTGGGCTGGTCGCGGAAGGACCTGTGCAGTGAGTTTGGCATTGGCCGCCCTCGCCGGGCCGGCACCTTTGACTGGAGCTGCCCAGCTGTGTCCAGGGAGAGAGACTGGCCTGCTGAGACCGAGCAGGACCAGGAATTCAGGGCCAAATCCGGCTGGGACAGCAGCCGCAGCGACAGTGCTGGGGCCAGGCCGGATGGGCACTTCAGCGCTGCCCGGGAGGGCTGGAGCAGTGACTACAGAGGGACAGAGCTGATGGCAGACACCAAACTGGGCGGCAGTGACTGGTCCCAGTCCCTCGGTGCTGGGGAGAGCTGCCTGCGGGATCCAGACTTTGGCAGCAGCACAGCCAAGTGGGGCCCAGGCTATGGCCTGGGCCGTGCCAGCAGCACAGAGGAGCTTGACTCCGGGCAGCCCACCTGGGCGGGCAGGTATGGCACCGGTGACACGGAGATGAAGGACAGGGAGCTCGCCCCGGACTGGGCCAGTAAATACAGCAGTCGGGATGCCGGAAGCAAGGATGAGGATTTTACGCTGGGCTGGGCTGGCCGATCCAGCACTGGGGACACTGGGAGCCCAGACAAGGAACTCAGCCCCAGCCGACCGTCCTGGAACAGCAGGTACAGCACCCGGGACATGGAGAGCCAGGACCGGGAGTTCAGTCCCAGCCGGCCAGCCTGGACTGGGGAATACAAGGACACACAAAGCCAGGACAGGGAGTTCAGCCCCAGCCGGCTGGCTGAAGGCAGCGAGTGCAGCACTGGCAATGTGGAGACCCAGGACCGGGAATTCAGCCCCAGCGGAGCGGCCTGGGATAACAGGTACAGCACTCAGGACATGGAGAGCCAGGACCGTGAGTTCAGCCCCAGCCGGCCGGCCTGGACTGGTGAAATCAGGGACATGGAAAGCCAGGACAGGGAGTTCAGCCCCAG